CATTGTACAGTGGCATTAAGTGCCGAAATGTGTACCTCTGCCTACTCCTTCGGGGATAAAAAGGCGTGATGTTATGTATGTTGTTTTTACTTTTCTGTAGCAAAACTTATACAGTACTTTTTGAGTATTTGAACAAACTATTGTATGTTTCAGATCTTCAGCTCAGTGAAATCAATCCTGAATGAAACTCGTAGCCGGTTGGAGACGGTCTGCCAGCGCGTGACTACCGCCTTCCAGAAGGAGATGGATGAGAAGTACATGGAAGTCACTGCCACTTATCAGTATGTTAATAGAGAAGAGCTGCTGAGAGGCAGGTGTGTAGTGTATGCTTCGTTTGGTTTTTGTTTATCTTAAAACTGTCATAAACATTGTCTCTCTCACACTATGCCACACAAATCTGTTGGTCTACTAACTGTCGGTTCCTGGCAGTGGTTCGCTAAAAACCAGCTACCTCGAGTTCATCTTCACCCTCATCCATGCGGAGGCAATTATCGGCGTCGTACTGATGCCGATAGTAAAGGCTTTTATAACATTATTACATTCATTATTTCTGGATGATGGACACAAATGAAATGCTTTATATAATATTGTTACTTACTTATTTACTGCCTTGTTGGCCGAGTGGTCGCAAGGGCGACTGCCAGACAAGGGGTCTCAGGTTCAATTCCCGGGTCGGGCAAAGTATTATTGGGTTTTTTTTAATTCTCAGTAATAACACGGAGCCTGGGATTGTGCCCGGTATATGGCAATAGGCTCATCCCTATTACTTGGGACTCATAACATAAATAGTGAAAAGTGGGCGTTACATTGTACAGTAGCATAATGTGCACCTCTGCTTATCCTTCGCGGATAAAAGGCGTGATGTTATATTATTTTATGTGTTATTTATTTACTCTCAGTCCGCTCTACAAAGAAGAACAAGAGATTCAATCAAGAAGGATAGTAGCCCTACTGTCATACGTTCTGGAAACTTCTGCAGGAGTGCACTGGTTCTTCAAACATGAACAGTTGAGAGACGAGGGTACACAGAAGACTGGACAGTTCGTTGATGTTATCCATAGGATATGTGCGCTACTTGATAATGCTGTGAGTAAAATTATTTAATTTATCTGTTTTATGCTCTTCCTTTATCTTCTATACAAAAATTGGATATTTAGAAATATACAGCATCTCCTTACCTCACTCCAATACATTTTCAACTTTATGACTTTATGTCAGAATTGATTTCATAATCTTAGAAAGCACATATCATAACCATCATCATCAGCCTGTATTCGTCCACTGCTGGACATAGGCCACTCCAATGGCACGCCACTGAACTCGCTCTTCAGCTCTTCTCATCCAACCACTGCCAGCCACCTTGCAGATGTCGTCACTCCACCTAGGAATATAACAGTAAAAAGTACATAGAACTCGGAAAAAATCACATTGGTAATATAGTCAGAATTTTAATTAGATTCCAGATTTGACAATAGCTACTGTCATTTTGTGAAATAATGATACCACATATAATAGTGTAGTGATGAACACAAAAATCGATAAACAGTCAGTGTGTCTGTTTTATAATAAATGTTACAGAAAGTCACAAGATAGTGATAGCGATGATGGCGACAATTTATAAAATAACTTATTACCATAATACATCTATCTGTTTTATTTGTCATGTTCTTCATGATTACATTTTTTTATTTATTTTACATACAATTATAAAAGAAAAGTCTTAGATCGTTAATTAATCGTCAAAACTAAATTATCGGTTCAGAAATATTTAATTTCCTGATATACTTAGTTTACGAGAGTAAAATTATAAACGAGAAGAATCGATCCAGAAATATTGCATTTCCATATCGAATAATTTCGTAACTTCACTATTTAGTACTTGTCATAACGTTGCAACACTGAAATTGTCAAATCTGGAATCGAATTCGAATTAAAATTCCGAGTATAGAAGCGGGGGGTCTTGGACTTCCGAGCCCTTATCCTAATTAATATTTAAATTGAATTGCATTAAATAAAACGTAAATAAAATACAATCCCTTCAACTTTCCAGTCGTGTGCAACGCTATACAGCGGACTTCTACTAGCAATAATCAATGTACTACAAGTTCTAACATCGTCTGACATCAGTAAGACGAAAGTTTTAGACGTTATAAAGATTATACTGACGTCCAGGCCGCTACCGTTTGTGGTGACACATGTGCTAAGCTTCTTGAGCATGGTGGCGTTATGGGACGATTTTATGAAGACTTTCTGCCCTGGTAATGGTATGGGGAATCTGAAGACTGATTATGATCAAGGTGTTTTGCTGTATAAGAAAGGTAAGGTTTTAAGGACTATTACTAGTCATTATTTAGCCAGTTTATGAAAAATTGCTATTATTTTATCATCATCATCATCACGCTTTTTTTACCCCTGAAGGGGTAGACAGAGATGTACATTACGGCACGTAATGCCACTTACAATGTAACACTCACTTTACACTACATATTTATGTTATGAGTCCCAATATACTAGGGGGTGAACCTATTACCATATACCGGGTACAAGTCTAGACGCCGTGGTACTTCGGAGAAGTATTTAAAAACTCAGTAATACTTTGACCGACCCAGAAATCGAAACCGAGATCCCTTGTCCGGCAGGCGCACTTGTAACCACTTGGCCAACAAGGCAATTATTTGACTGATTCTATAATTATGTATATTATGCTGTAAGGGTAAGCCCGAGGATACATCCAACCATATGGCTCAGACTGAGATTCTATGCTATGAGTGAGATAGAGAATTTAAAAATGGAAAATAACAGTCAGCATAACCATTTTCGATTTAGTGCAACTCTTTGTGTGATCCACAAATTGTTGTTTCGGGTCTGAGTGTCATTATGTATGTGAACTTGAATGTTTGTAAACGCACCCACGACACAGGAGAAAATCTTAATGTGGGTCGACTTTAAAAAGAAAAGAAAACAGTTAAAAGTACCATGTAATCTATTAAAACACTTTCGTTATTATTCTTTATAATTAAAACAAAAAAATAAAAAAATTCGTCGTGTGAGTGAGGTTACGGGAGGCCCAGCTCCCTCCCCCTTCCCCAATCTCCCCAATCCCCGAATCCTCAACAATCTTCAAACTCCTAATCCCCAAAAGGCCGGTAACACACTTATAACGCTTCTGGTGTTCCAGCTGTCCATGGGCGACGCCGATTGCTTACCATCAGGTGATCCGTCTGCTCGAAGCCCGTCTACGGCATATGGCATAAACAAAAACATGTAACACAATTTCTAATGATTTCTTGTACTCACTTTACAGACTCATGTTTCATCCAAGTACTTCTAAAACAAATAGAGATGTGTCTCAAATGTATGGAGAGACAGAAGCTGGCGGACAGAGTGGTGGACGCCACACAGAACTTGATCATGCTGTACACTCAGCTCACTGATACTACCACTTGCAGCTTCGCAAGAGAGAACTCCAGGTAAGATTAAAACTGTTCATTTCTTATTTAAAGTATACTTCTTCTTGCTACTGCCTCGTTGGCTAAGTGGTCGCTAGTGCGACTGCCAGACAAGGGGTCTCGGGTTCTTCTACTCCTTCTCTCTCTATTAAGTATACCTACATATATGTAAATATGTGCTACATAAAACATTTTACATTCCAGATGCGACTGCCAGCTGGTACTGGTACAGGTGATAGTGTACGCACTACGAATATGTGCTGTGATGTTACATACTTTAAGAAATAATTATATAGGTGAGTCCATTTCAAACACCACAATATATGACTTTAAAATCTTTCTCTGTAAGTTTTAACGAATTTTATTCATCCAAGGGATAGTTAGAGATGTATTTAATACACATCTAGCTGTGCCCGCGACTTCGTCCACGTGGAATAGTAGTTCCCAGCACCTCCCCGTAGGAGATAGCATAATAAAATATAGCCTGTGTTAGTCTTCGTATATATAATTCTGCTGTACGTGTGTATGTCATTGGACTCCTCCTAAACGGCTTGACTGATTTAAATGATTTTTTCTGTACGCGTTTGAGTGGCGCCCTGGATGGCTTAGATTCACAAATCAGTCCTGCAGATGACGCTACAGTCAATGCCTAGGTTAGTTATCCTAAACGTCTGGACTAATTTGAATGAATTATTGTTTATACATTCAAGTGGATATGCAGGACAACGTCTGTCGGGTCCGCTAGTACTCATATAAAATTTGAAGTAAATCCATGCAGTACTTTTTGAGTTTAGCCCGGACATACATACAGACAAACAGAAAAAAATTCTAAATGCCATTTTTTTGGATTCAGTATCGATTGTAGATCATGTCCGAAACATTATATTTTTAAATAATCAATGTAAAGTTTTAGCTTTCCTACGATTTTATTATGTAAAGATAGATGTAATTATAATCTCAGCGCTTGTTTTTTAATAAAATATGGCGTGTTCCAATATTAAACACAAACCAAGCTATAAAAAGTAACAATTACTTTCTGCTATATAGTTATATAGTTTTAGATTACAGGTATCGACCCTGACACCTTTACGCGACAATCGATAATCACAATCGCAATTTATTGAGTTTTTACAACTCGTAATTTTTATTCCCATAAAACATTTCTAAGAAAAATAATAAATGGAACGTTTTTTAATAATATTTTTAAATACTATTCCTTTTTTTCCTTTGTAATATAACATAACATCATGTATTTTATCCCCAAAAGGGATTTTTTAGTAGTAGGTATTTAAAAATGAAATTTATAAAAGATTTGAAATAAATACCTACATGGAAATTTAATGTACTTATATTTTACAGACGATAGTAGCGAGGATCTAGTCTCGGTGTGTCGGTGTGGGATACTGTTGTTGTACCAGTGTGCAGTGAGGGATGTGGAGTTCAGTGCCCAGCTCGCGCACAACGAGGGACATCTCATCGAGTTCTGTGAACTCATGAGGAGTTTTGATCATAGTGAGGCATATAGTAAGTGATAGGAAGGTGTATAAAACAAAATCAGTATATATCATAACAATTACTTAACAATAATAGTAAATTAAATATAGCTGAGCACAGGTTCGATGCCCAGGTGTGTGAAAATATACTTTTTGTCTCCGAAAATATTAATTATCTCTGAAGAGTGCATATTATATTTTCATATATACACTTCTATATGCCTACGTCTTCGGAGTATTAAAGGCGTAATGTGTTTTGTTTTAGTTTTACTAAGAGTCGACCTAAAGCCATCTTCTTATAAATGCATATTTTTTCAGCCAATATGCTGTCAGAGCTCGCCAGTACCCTTCAGTCGACTCCAGAAGATATGCCGCCATCATTCCATAAACAACCTTGGCTGAAGAGCTTCGAATCCTTCTCTTTGGTCGACTAACTTCATTATTATTGTCATGAGATTTTTACGTCGAGTAAAAACTATATTTTTAAAATAAAATGTAAATATTGTATATAACACAAACGATTTTCTGATTCTTTATGTGATTACTAAGAAAGGAAATACATTTATTATTTATTTAAAACATTTATTCGTTTATTTTATAAATATAAGACTTTTTACATTAGGAATGTGAAAATGAAGTACATAATGTATTAATATTATGATTAATTTAACAAATTATAATATATCTAAATACGTGACTTAGCTTGACACAACAGACGATGTTGGTTTTTTATTTCGCATATAAATCGTGCACCTAAATGGCAAGGAAATAATTTGACATCGTGGATCTTCTAAAATTCTAGTTTCCATTGATTTATTTTACACAGATTATATTCAATAACAATGATATATGTATTGTAACTTTCGTAAGACATACTAAACAAATTATTATGTTTTCGGCTTACTCACGTAATGATTTGACGAGGAACTCGACTAGTTTCAAGCCATGCTAGAGGCTCATATTCATGAGCAGCATTTCGCGACCCGCGACGCTTGAAACGCATGGCGAAACATAATAATTTATTAAACAATGATATAATTTAAAGCAACTTTTATACCTGTGTGCGTCAAAAATACTTTGAAACTCATCACTTAACGTACTTGAAGTAGCTATAGTATCTTATATAAAATAACGTGAAATAGTAAACATATCACTGTTCAATACTATAATAAGATGGCATAACGTAAGCGGGATGTTAATGTCATCCCCATCACAAATTCCTGCCTACCTATAGTATAAATAAATGAACTACTTGGGTCAAAATCTGTATTCACCATGATCTTCAAACGATTTTGTACATAGCACAATGAAATTGTACTTAGCATTATCAAAAAGTCAAGTATAAACTATGTCAACTGATCCTCAAAGTGTGACAATAGAGTATACAGATTTTGCCCCAATATAAAAAAAATAAACTACATAAATACAATTCCATTAGGGCTTCACAGTCGTAACAATAGTATCATCACCCGTGTTAGGTTGATGGAAGAAGTACAACATAAAACCAGCTGCTAAAAGGAAATGAAAAGCGAGAATAGACCCAATTAGAATTAGGAAATATCGAGATTTTCTTAGTGCTGGCATGAGCCAGAATATGAGGACGGCTCCGGAGACAAAAGCTGCCATTAACACAAAGAGCCATTGCAGCCAGAACACTTGAATTGTCCATAGTACTGCCACGGGTATGTAAATGGAGAGTGAGTATCCATACAGGCAGAACAATGACATCATTGTTGGTGACTTTGCATCCTGGAAAAACAGTTCATGTTAATTGTATATTATTTTTTAAGCTTCTCTTTGAAGCCTTTTCATTTAGAATCAGTCCTGAGAGGCTTTTGTACATTTCCTTGCTTGTTTCAATGTTTAAAAAGGGTTAATTAATAATAACCACAAGGATGACTTCAAAATATTATTTCTTTCTAAGTAATTTATAGCATAAATTTTATTATATAGTATAGTATTTACCTGATTCTCTATTTCATCATGTCCATCAGTAGTGGTGGTCCATTTTAACGCTGCCCAGAGAGCGAGTGGTACGATCCATACGTAGCAGGTGATGGCCGTTGCAGCAATAGACACCAGGTGGAAGTCATAACGCCATACAAATCCTTTCTTATTGGCATTGTGCAAGTAACTAGCTATGTTACCACTTACTGCTATTGTGAATATCTGGAATTATGTAAAGGTAACTTAGTATTCCTAAAATGGACTGGCACAGAAAAAAACATGATTTAAATAATCCACACAATCACAAAAACGCTCAATGCATAATAGTTAAACATCAAGTCAGCCAGATATCAGATATTCTGCTATAAGCGAGATTTTGAAATGAAAGATAAGGCCAGCTATAAAATTTTTAGAATAAAAAATTTGGAAATTTGTTTGTGTACTCAATTAGTATAAAACCACCTTTAGAAACTTAAACCATAGCCTTTTGGGTAACAAAAACAGCATCATAATTTACGTATGCCACCTACCAGGGTGACAGAAATCCAAATAGGTCCATACAGATCAGGTTTTCCCTTGATCCTTTCATCAAAGTAGTTGCGAGACACCTTTTGTGGTAGTACAGAGGATATAATCCGCTCAACCACCTCATTTGTGTGAACATCAAAATATTTCTGATAGTATTCTATAGTCCAGAAGTTGTGGTTCGCTGTGAATAAAAAATAAATAAGAATTACATGATAGTAATACATAGACTTAACTTTCAAAAGGAAGTTATGTTTTATGAATCATCCTGATAAGATAACAAAGTTTAGAAGGTTTGTATTTACTATGAGTAACATGGTAAAATTAATAATTTGACGGTTTCTGTTAATTGAGTTGATTGTACCCTTGATGAGTGATAAATGCAGTTACAGAGTGTCTCAATTCTGATAATACTCAAGGAACAAAAGGTTTCTTACATATATTAAATAGGTGAACTAATACTAATGCAATGATTATAATCTAAAATAAGGTTTTGGGTGTTTAGATGAGTTGTCTGACGGTGTAAATAAAAGTTCGACTCACGTATCACCAGGTTTATTTGATGGATCCGACACGTGTAGTACAGACAGAAGGCACAGTAGGAAAGTCACAAGCACGGCACAGAGATAACGAGAAGACAGTCAGTATATAAAAGTAGTAAGGAATAGGTAGAACTAAGGTAATTTTTATAGGTTTTAGAAAGTGAAAGAATTGTCCACGCGCGTCGTAGCAAAATCTCGGCAAGACTGGTTTGACAGATATATGCGCACACGCATCGGTAAGCGATCATCAGTAGCTATTGATAGTTATAACTATATTGGTAATTAGTGATGAGGGCTCTGTCGATAGGATTACAATTATCGACTATCGATGGAATTTTTATAGACCAACTGGTAAGGAAGTGTTATGCATTCCGTACAAAAATGTAAATATATATATAAATGTATGTAGGTGTATGTGTATAGATTTGTACAGTTACCTACACCACCCCCCTCCAGAGACCGTCAAGGGCGATAGAAGTCAGTAAATTTAACTCGCCTCCCAGAACGTGTTGTGTAACTCGGCGGCACTGTTGGTGGGGGTTCCTCCACCGTGTCTGATAGAATGAAGGCAGGCTTCAGTCGGTCGATGGATACTGTCACTTCATTGTTTTTGACTAGAATCTTAAATACCTTGTCCCTTCGTGTGATAACTTTAAATGGCCCAGAATAAGCAGGCTGGAGAGCACCCCGCAATGCGTCCTCACGGAGGAAAACGTGATCGCAAGTATCTAGCTCCTTGTAAATAAACACTTTGGGATTGCAGTGGCGGGATGCGGCGACCGGTCTCAGTTTCTCGGCAAAATTTCTGAGCCTTGCAGTAAATTCAGCTGTGTCCACTGTACCGTTGACTGTTGGCTCAAAAAATTCTCCAGGTAACCTTAGCGGCTCCCCGTACAGCAGTTCCGCTGAAGAGGCTTGAAGGTCTTCTTTAAAGGCAGATCTTACGCCTAGTAAGACCCATGGCAGAGATTCCGTCCACCTGTCGTTCGCATGACAGACTATCGCGGCCTTTAGCTGACGGTGGAACCTTTCGACCAAACCGTTGCAAGCTGGATGGTAGGCTGTCGTCCGCTTATGTTCGAATCCTGCTATCTTCGACAGACATTGGAACAGAGACGATTCGAACTGGCGACCACGGTCGGTTACAATATCTGTCGGGCAACCAAAACGGGATATCCACATGGATAACAAAGCCTTGCCCACCGTTTCCGCTGTGATATCTTGTATCGGTACTGCCTCTGGCCACCGTGTAAATCTATCGACGGCCGTTAAACAGTACCGATAACCTTGGGAAAGTGGAAGAGGTCCTACCAAATCAATGTGGATCTGTTTAAACCGAGCACGCGGTAAGTTATAAGTGCCCAGAGGAGCAGTCACGTGACGGTTGACTTTCGTCCTCTGACACGGTATACAAGCGCGTGCCCAGTTCCTACAGTCTTTCCGCACGCCTGGCCATACAAACCTCTCGGCTATTAGCTTGGCCGACGCGTTGGCACCAGGGTGGCTTAAGGAGTGCAAGCTATTAAAAATTTGATTGCGGAATGATTTAGGTACGTATGGCCTGGAAGCTGAAGTACTGACGTCGCAGTAAACGGGAATTCCGCTTCCAGGGACAGTGAATTTCCTGAGCTGCAGAGAAGAACCTTCGCTCAAGAGCTTACAGAGTTCTGAGTCAGAAGTCTGAGCTTGAGCCAGTTTTTCGAGGTCTACGGGGCCTGCTAGCTCTTCAATTCGCGACAAGGTATCTGCAACCACATTATCCTTACCGGAAATGTGGCGGATATCTGTCGTGAATTGGGAAATGAAGTCTAAATGTCTATACTGCCTGGGCGAACAGCTATTCTTCCTTTCATGGAAGGCAAAGCTAATAGGCTTATGGTCAGTATAGACTATAAAATGGCGAGCTTCTAGCATGTGCCTAAAATATTTAATGGCCTCATAAATTGCTAAAAGCTCCCTATCATATGGTGAGTATTTCACCTGTGATGGACTCAATTTCCTTGAAAAGAAACCTAAGGGCTGCCAAGCATCATTATTGTATTGCTGCAGAACTGCACCGATAGCCCTGTCTGAGGCATCTGTGACAACTGCAAGTTTAGCTGTGCAGTCTGGATGAGCTAGAAGAGCAGCATTGGTCAGACTTTCTTTACAGGCTTCGAAAGCAGCGAGTGTGTCGCCTGCCAAGGAAATTGGTTGTGAGCCTTTGACGGAGCCTGTTAATAAGGTGTGAAGTGGAGCTTGAATTTCGGCTGCATTAGGAAGGAATCTCCTATAAAAATTTACCATTCCTAAGAAACCTCTTAGCTGACGGACGTTGCTTGGAGGGGGAAAATCCTTGATGGCCTGGACCTTGGAATCAAGTGGTCTAGTACCGTCTTTGGTAATCCGGTAGCCTAGAAATGTTACTTCCTCCATACCGAAAACGCATTTCGAGGTGTTCACCAACATACCATATTCCTTCAGCCTGTTGAAAACTTGTCGCAAATGATCCTCGTGCTCCTGAGGACTTTTAGAAAACACAAGAAAATCGTCCAGGTAACAATATACGAAATCCAAACCCCTCGTCATTTCGTCTACGAACCGTTGAAAGGTTTGGCCCGCATTCCTAAGACCGAACGTCATAAATGGAAATTCAAATAGTCCAAATGGTGTTGTAATGGCGGTCTTAGGTATGTCCTCGGGGCTGACAGGTATCTGATTATATGCTTTCTCTAAATCAAGTGTACTGAAGACTTTGCATCCAGTTATACTATGGGTAAAGTCGTGGATGTGTTTAATCGGATATCTGTCAGGCACGGTACGGGCGTTCAACTTACGGTAATCGCCGCAAGGACGCCAGCCATTGTTCTTCTTTGGCGCCAGATGCAGCGGTGATGCCCATGGACTCTCGGAAGGTCTAGCTGTACCAAGGGCCAGCATAGACTGGAACTCTTTTTGGGCGATTTTGAGCTTATCCGGCGCTAAACGACGAGGTGAAGAGTAAACTGGAGGGCCTGGTGTCGTGCGTATGTGGTGGACGGTATTGTGTGATGAGTAATGTGGCTTACCGGCTGGTCGAGTTATTTCCGGAAACTCGTTGAGAATTTTGTGGTATTGAGTCTCACCAGTCAAGACCTTGACGGATGCTATGTCGCTACATCTAACTACTTTGGCTACAGTGGAGACAGAAGTACTACTATCTAATAGGCGTTTATTACGGCAATCAACAATAAGACAGTAGTAGTTTAAAAAATCCACGCCTATAATAGGCTTAGTTACGTCTGCTACTACAAAACGCCAAGTAAACACTCTACGCAAGCCAAAATCTAGATTAAAGTGTACATAACCGTATGTCGAAATAGTGGAACCATTTGCAGCACACAAATTGTAGTCCGTCTTGGCACGTCGATCACGAAGATGAGACCGGGGGAAGACACAGAGGTCGCTTCCTGTATCGACGAGGAACTGCATCTTCGAATTCCGGTCTGTGACAAACAGGCGACCAGTAGGAGTTGCAGGGCAGTCAGCTGTCGCCATTATCGACCGCCCCTGGCATTTCCCGATTTGTAGTCGCAGGGGGTTACGCATTTGCTGGCCTTCTCTCCGAATTTACCATGGTACCAGCAAAGTGGAAACTTCCTGTAATTAGACTCTGATCGTGTCGACCTGGATGATGATCTATGGTGAGGCGACCTCGTAGATCGTGTACGGGCTCTGCTGTTCCTGCCTGTACTGAGCTGTTGAACCTGTCTCCGAAGCTCAGCTACTTCTTTGACGAGGACATCCAGGGCCGTGTTGGGACTGGCTGCGCTTGTGAAAGCCACAGATGGTGAAGGTGCGGCCAACTCCTGTATGCGGTCAGCCAAATCTGACAGGTCATCGATGGTAGCTGTTGGTGGCTGGCCTGCAAGCACCGTCTGGATCCCGTGTGATAGGCGACTTATCCAGATGGTTTTTAAAAAATCGTCGGGAACATTCACGCCTGCGAGACTTTTAAGGTGACGGAGAAATTGAGAGGGCTTTCTGTCTTCGAGCTCCTCGTGCATCAAGAGCTGCTTGAGCTTTTTCTCCTTCGACGCCGTCAACCGCTTAATTAATTCGACTTTTAATTTGTCGTACTTATTTGATGCGGGCGGACTAATAATGAGGTCTTTCACTTCCCTCGCGTACTGGGTATCCAGCTGACTGATCACGTAGTGGAACTTGGTTGAGTCGCTGGTGATTCCGGATATTGCAAATTGACCTTCTACTTGTCCAAACCAAACTTCGGGCTCTTCCGGCCAAAATGGTGGTAGGCGTGTGCCCACTTTGAAAATATCGATATTTTTTATCGACTCGCCTACATCTCTAGTGCTTGACCTCTGGGTGCTCAAGGGCATGGTGGGACCATGTGCATCCTGGAATTCCTTCTCCATGGTTCAAAACGGGGTCACCAGTTTGGTTGTTTAGATGAGTTGTCTGACGGTGTAAATAAAAGTTCGACTCACGTATCACCAGGTTTATTTGATGGATCCGACACGTGTAGTACAGACAGAAGGCACAGTAGGAAAGTCACAAGCACGGCACAGAGATAACGAGAAGACAGTCAGTATATAAAAGTAGTAAGGAATAGGTAGAACTAAGGTAATTTTTATAGGTTTTAGAAAGTGAAAGAATTGTCCACGCGCGTCGTAGCAAAATCTCGGCAAGACTGGTTTGACAGATATATGCGCACACGCATCGGTAAGCGATCATCAGTAGCTATTGATAGTTATAACTATATTGGTAATTAGTGATGAGGGCTCTGTCGATAGGATTACAATTATCGACTATCGATGGAATTTTTATAGACCAACTGGTAAGGAAGTGTTATGCATTCCGTACAAAAATGTAAATATATATATAAATGTATGTAGGTGTATGTGTATAGATTTGTACAGTTACCTACAAGGTTTTAATAATACATTTAGATATGTAAAACAGCCCTAATTGATTAGCAAGTTTCGAAATCTAATAATTTAAGAAACAGGAGTGGATATTAAGCCTGAGATTAATAAAGTTACTTACTTTGAGGAACAGCCTCCGGTTCTTCAATCGTTTTGGGCTCATCAAAACTATAGTTTGGATTTGACATAGTGTTGTTGTATTGATTTGTGTGCACTGCCTCCACGTCAATACGGGCACTTCGATTATTATGCTCAGGAGAATAGTCCTGAAAGTCCAACAGTTCACCTGTGTTCACGTTCGCCATAATTATTTACTTCATATACAGGGAAGTAATAAAAAACGAAATTTTATTTAGTTTTTAACTCTGAAAGTGACAGATTCACACTCAGCCAGCAAACAACCAACTGTACGATAAAACTGTCACTGTCATTATTTTACACCAACGTCATTTCATTGAGATTAATATTCTCGATAAGCATAGCCTTTTTCATTTATTATTATGACATGAAAGAAGATATTTAATCAAATATATAATAATTAAGAAAACCGCTTGAGACGTAGTGTATGGGTAGGGTCCCTGCCCTACCCGTACACTACATTTTATACCCTAGGTAAACCCTACGTACCCTTATCAGGTTGCCACCATACTAGCGACCTCAATTGCAAAGACCGTATACCATAAAATTTAAACAAAAAGTTTCAATATTTATCATAGCCAGTTTAAAATAAACATTTTTATCTTTTTGTATTATGTTGTATATATTTATTAATTTATTTGTTTAATTTAGAATTCGTTCAATAATAGAGTTCCAAAAAATTTGTAACTTAAAATAAAAATATTTAATACTTCATTAAAACTATAATTTATATAATTACATAAGTATTTACAACTTAAAATTACCTACAACTAAACTATTAAATAAAGCGAAAGTAAAAAAAAAGAAAACAACAACAATTATACCCTTAATTTAGGCGTCAAAGTATTCGTCCGCATCACTATCACAGGGGAACGTTCCCAGAAGACTGGCAGCATTGCCACGTTGAATAGCAATGTTTATTTTCTGTCCGAAGAAAAAGCCAGCCCTCTGGTCACGTGTAGAGTCGATTAGCCTACGGGCGATATCTTTAAACACAGAGTGTGCACTGGGACCCCATGGCCCAAGTGTTTCGACCCCAAACGGCTCAAAACAGTAGTTACCCACTAGATTTGAATATTTACGCCGTCTGAGGGCCTCTTCCGCAGAAGCAGCTGCACCAACGCATGCAGCGGTGCTTAAAAGATGTGATGGCGCAAGGGTGTCTACACACGTCGCGTCCCACACCAAAAGCCTACCCATCTTCCAAGCCATCGACTCTTACTCCACAGTGACAATAATGCGGAGAAACACAAGGAGCACCTAAACGTAAGCATACAGCTAGGCGGAACGTTATGTCATCCAACATAGTACCTATGAAGGGTGACGGGAGTGCCTGAAGCCACAATCCTGATTCCCATTCTCCCACAGCCAATAAGCGAGCTCGCTCTGCAGTATTAGAAGACGAGCTGATTAAAGACTCACGAATAACACTGCACAGCGGCACGTCCCACTGTCTCTGAGAAGATGGGTGAACAGGTAAATCCGTAAGTGGGCAAGCCATTTTCCACGCTTCCACTGCATCAGTCAAACACGGCACCTCAAAACTGTTCAGTGACGAAGAAAGAATTTTCCTGACTAATTCAGAGGTACTGTGGACCGAAGACAGAAAAGCTGGTAAACTAATACTTGAAATTTTGCGGACGCCGAGCCCTCCCATGCGAATAGGAAGAGTAGCTTGTTGCCAAGCTCGGTCATCCAAAGCCACATTAAGTATGGATGACAATGTGTGTCTGATAATTTTGTCTACTTCATTTAGTACGACATACATACGTAGCTGTGGTACAAATGTGTTCAACATTTGGTACAATGCTAAAAGTCTTTTAGCTTTGCCGTATAGGTAATTTTCGTGCACGTAGTTTGAAAACAAATACATATTCTATTGATTTAACCTGTCGATTGTATTAAATTGTTTATTCGCCTATTCAGCAAGTGAAAAATCGACAAGTCACGGGTTGAAACCTTGGATCAAAATAAAGTCATCCACTGAATTAATAAAATGGTTGTCACTTTGTCAGTAGCATAATTATTTTTTTAGTCTAAATACAATTATTATTACGTGCTTAAAAAGACTTTTTACGGTCATGACTATTCCCTACTTGCCCATCTGTTTATGTCTTCAACTTCTCACCCACTTTGAGCTCGCCCGCGCTGCGCTTGCGTACATCGTTTTACTATTGTCTATGGCTTGTGGACAGGGAAGGAAGAGGGAAGGGGAAATCGACCAACGCCATTTTGTTTTCAACAAGACGTTGTAACGTCAAGTCGATACTAAATTCAGTCCGTCTTTTTCCGTCGCGCCGTGGAGAACTACTTTATTATACGCGATTTAGACACGATAAATGTATTCTTCGACTTGAACGCGAGTTGATTGCTACAATAGTGTTCATATCAAAGACAGTGCTTTTGTAATTTGTGATAACGTAAGTTCACTACGTGTTCATTTCTGAAATCTCGCCATATTGGCTAACCACGTAACAGAGTAATTTCTAAACTTGTTATTTCGTTAATTACAGTGATGTTCAGTTGAAGATTTACTTGGTATGGTGATTTCTACGACTACAGTCGTCGGTCAAGATGTCCAAGGAAGTAGCGGAAGAGTATGCTTCCAGTTTAGCGGACCTAACCGTAAACAGCAAACCGCTGATAAATATGTTGACGATTCTCGCAGAAGAGAACATCGACCACGCCGGGGTTATCGTTGAAACAGTGGAGAAGCATTTAGAGAAGGTGAATTTCAATTTTTAAAATTAACGCGTGTGAGGTGCATCGGAATTAAATGCCACACGATCACGTGAGAGCTAGGGAATAATGGGAAAGTGTTGTCAAATATTGAATTGATGACGCGCGCTATTCGTTGCGTGCTTTTCGTGTTTACTATGACTAGTGTGACTAATTCGACCTCGTTGTAACCAGTCGAAGCAGTAACAGGTATCTCCTACAATATGTTCCTATTTCACAATATTACTGATAACAATATGACAGCATTGGCTATAATTACTTCTGTAGTGTTAGATGTTTCAATTCTGTACAAACTGTTAAAGAAACTTGTTTAAAACCATTTACTTTTCAGAGTTTATGTTGGCATACATTCTAAGCATGATTAAAACCACAAATTCAGTTGATTACTTTCATTATTGATCTGCAACAGTTTCGATATTGCTATGTATTACGTCATTACCTTAATTATTTGTTTTTTTAAGTTGTATGGTGATTAATTTTTATCAATCCAGTATAAGTTAGTTTATCTACTTAAAATTGTTGTAGTTCAAACCAAAATACAAAGATAGATAATCTATTGACATAATTAATATATCAAACAAGTCTTACAACAATCAACAATCAAAACTAGTCGGTACTAATTTGGTAAAATTGCCAAAGTATTACACTCACCCAATTCCTAGTACTGTTGGCTTAAGTCCATAAAACTAAATGTTATTAAAATACATTGGAAACAATTTGTCACAATATATGAAACACTAATCTACAATCAATAGCAATAATGTTATCATGTTGAAACTACAATATACAATTAGGAGATACCTGTAGCAAAAGATAACATATCAGCCTTCGAGGGTATGTAAAACTTATCTTTTCAGTTGTATATCCAAGACATTGTTCACAATAAAGCTTTTTGAAACTGAATTCTTATTTATTTTTCACATTTTAACAATTAAAAAGGTTGATAAAGCAAATTCTTGTCTTATTCTATCCTGTACCAATTATAACGGTTGGGTGCAAAGCAAATCTTTGCAAGACGAGGTCAAGTTTGTACTTGGCTAGCCTGGGGTTTGGGACTAGAAGTTATTTTTCCTCTACACAGGTACACCCAGACATCAAGCTGCCAGTACTGTATTTAGTTGATTCGATTATCAAGAATGTCGGTGGAGCCTACACACAGAAGTTTTCTCAAAGCATTGTCAATATGTTTACCAGGACTTTCAAACAGGTAATTATTGTGAGTTTATTGTTCAATACATATTATGTTTTTAAATTTATTTCTTAATAAACAAGCAAATTCTAACATAATTTGTTTCTACAGGTGGATGAAAAAGTCAGGTCTCAAATGTTTAAGCTTCGTGAGACTTGGCACGATGTGTTTCCTGCTACAAAGCTGTACCAACTGGATGTGAAAGTGAACTTGATTGACCCGGCGTGGCCGATACAAGCACAGCCGCAGCAGTCAAACATCCATGTAAATCCAAATTTTCTGAAAAAGGTGTTTTTTTAGTTGATTATTGTTTTGACATTGATTTAGTTAAATATGCTGTAGGTCTGGGTCTTTTTATATAATGCTATTTTCCATGCATAATACATCATGTAAGCTGTAACCCCCGCTGTATTTTATCATTTTGCAAGTAGCCTGGGATATTGCTTGATTATGCTGACCCTGCATCATTTCATAAAAATAACTTTACATGTACTTAGTTTTCATTTAAAATTTACACCTTTGGGAGGTTCATTTCAGAAATGGGATGTTGCATACTTACAAATTGGGAAATTCTTGATTAAATATTAACTATCTTAAGATAAAGTCTTACAGTATGCATTTCTAACAACTATTTCTTTCAACAGACTACCCCTACCACCAGCACTACAATCACTCCAGCTCCAGTCGTCCCTGCTGAAGAGGACGAGAAGATGAGGAATATCCTCGCCAAGAAAGAACAAGAGCTCCTCATGCTGCAGAGGAAAAAGGTGGAGATGGAACTAGAACAGATGCGGCGACAGGTCGAGCTTGCAGAGAAAACTGTTACTAAAAAGGTGAGAATTTTTATGTTCATTCTGGTTTTCGATCCTTTTTGGTCGAATTTCAGATAATTTTATTATTCAGGTTAAACGTTTAGGCCTTCGATCAACAATAACAACTAGATATCGGGTCAGCGCAAGAAAATCGTCTCGACAAATAAGAGCTCACTTGAGAAGTGAGCTCTTATTTTGTTTAGTATGCTCCAAACACGGCCAACGTACTCACGTCTCACGATGCCGCAGTGCATAATTGCAAGTTGCAAAAATAACAACCGAAAAAGCAGTATAACGGCTGGAGTGTCTTACTTTTGATAAGTACATAAAGTATAAGTTATATTTTAAGCTTTTAAACTAGTAAATAATATCAAATTAGACAAAATTATCAATTATAAACCAACGCCACCAATGTTTGTGCGTGTGTTGGCGATTCCTTGGCCAAGCCTCGCCAACATTTGTTTAAACAGAACAGTGGATGCATCGAGTCGATTTGTATTGAAAAATAAAATTGTATTGTTTCTTGCTCGTTCTTCTCCATAGGAATCTACACCTTGGAATGAGCAAATAGCTTCACTTTTAAATTTATATTGTTGACGTTCAAAAGTGCCTTCCTGGTCTAACTGAAATAAATGATTTTGACTTAGACTTTTAATGATAAAGAAAATAAACATATCATACACAAAAACGTACCGCTAATAAAAATTAGTGATGTATACTAAGATCCCGAAATCTTAATTTACATATTATAAAATTATTTAAGTGTCCAACGCGACTCCATACATACCTCCTGTAGCGAAATTCGAAATTTGAAGAAGCAAAACGTAACAAAACAAAACGATATAGATCGCAAGACAATAATGGAAAAATTATCTTTATTTGTTCGAGCTTAAGGTTGAATTCAAACTAAATATTGTATAACTTATGTCTTTTAAATTTCTACATGACAGGAGTAAGAAAATACTTTTCTTGTCTTATGTGACGAATGGTCGTAAGTATTAGATAATATTTTGACGATTTATGACTATATTATTAGGTGCCATGGTTGTTATTAGGTTGAACTTAAAACTATTTTAAAACATTTTCCTCCGTTTGTTATTTTTTTACTATTATTATTTACACGGACAAAACTGGAGCTTGAATTTGGACGTAACCCTTTATCTAGTTGTTATTGTTGATCGAAGGTTTAGGCGATTTATTTTAATCTTAAATCAGATATAGTAGTGTATACTTGATAAGCTTCAACATCTGTATAGACTACTGACCACAACATCACAAAAATCTTTCAATTCAGATCGCATTATTAATTGTTCCTATTGAGTTCGGTCATTAATTTGGGGCGTTAACGATTGTAAATGTTTCGTCGATCGGTCGCGTTACGAAATCGAGAGAGGGCCATGATTTCGTACGATTGCGATTACCCGACTTCCCTAGGTAATTTACAGTTTCTTTTTCTGGAATCTTAATTTAGTCTATCGAAGGTTGCACCTGTACATTACATACATTTTAGAGATGCATTTTTTATGCAGTTATGTATTATGTTTGCAAATCGCCCATATCTGGTTATAGTCATTATCATAGTTTTAATTATCTTGCGGCTTCTAATAATTTCTGTACCAATACTTTTGAACACCTATATTATGATCCATTGTTGATTTTAATAAAGACAAAAGCGGGACTTAAAATATTCATTAACACAATAATATTTTAAGTAAGAAACAATACATTTTTGTGTAGCCTGTTCTACTAGTGAACTGTTAAATGTTTAAATAGGTACCACTTGTACACAAAGGTTAAGAAGAATAGGTACTAAAGAAAGTAAAAAGTAATTTATTACAACCTTTTAAAGTTAAAGATTTTAAAATGTACTCAAAGCACATAAAACAATGCTTAACATTATCCTATCTCTAATCCATTGTCCTTTTGTTTAAACAGTTTAAGTTAAATGACTATTTTTGAAAACTTGCTAATGTTTCATTGTTCTATTTATTTCTGTTTCCTAAAATTCTATAAATCGTTTCTTAGCTATATTTGGATAACAGAACATTAGACCTTAATACACCGAATGTAGAAGGCAGTGAAGCAAATAGTATACATAGTACAAATGATTCCCCGTAATTTGAATTTGACTAAATTAGATTGTGTATATTTTCGACATTATTATATAAATAGGCCTACTGTATGTTGCATTGGTACTATTTCTGCTTATAAATGACTAGCTTTTCCCGTGCATTTATCGTTTCTAATTGAATCAGCAGTTTTTGTGATTTATGCTTTGAACAGACAAACACACTCTTCAGCTTTATATATTAGTAAAGATAATACCTTATATAGATATCGCGTGGTATCGTAGTTAATTTCTAATTTTAAACCCAAGCTATTAATTATTTTATTACTCATTATGGTTTAATGACGTTCATTTCTTTATTATTTCATTTTCTATATTAATTACCGTTATTAACTGATTACTAAAATTCAACTTATGTATTTAATTATTTACTATGTCAGCAATGATAGTTTGTAATAGGTTGTCTGATGGCGGAAAATGGAAAAGACGACGAAGCCATATTGCTCCTAAGTAACTCTAGAAGTCTAGATCAAGGCATTATTCTTTAATCCTCTCTCCCTGCTTTTGTCTACAAGGGAAATATTAGTATCTTGTTTTAGTCAATTCACGCGGACGCAGTAACAGTAAATAAATAACACAAATATCTCGGTATTTTAAAATTACCACGTTTTAAAAGTATAGACAATACAATGGGTACATTATTTTAAAAGAAACAATGCACCCGTATTATCGGCGTTTACTAAAATCGTTATCATATTTTGCGAACTACTTTTACAATTATGAATACACTCTAAAATCCTTTAACGAGTTTTAAGTTTGTGAAACAAAACCTTAGTAGCCTTGCTTATCAATGTGTTGAACAATGATCCTTAGTCAATAATGGTAGCTATAGAAATTAGTTTCGTGGTATTTTTAGACCTAATTACCGTATCGTGTGAATTTTAGACGTAAAAGTATTAACCCAGGTACTTGTTTCTGCAAGCGGCTTCGCTCGCTTTATGTTATAAAAAGTAGACTATTTATTATTCATTTATTTCAGACTAAAACATAATTCTATTTCTATGCCAAATATTAAGCTCCGATCAGTGATTTTTACCTGAAAGAGTAACAATCAAACATGTTATTTAGCCATATATCCTCACAAACTTGCGTTTGATAATAATGTATTAGTAGAAAGCTAGGAAATACCTATGATTTATTAGTCATTTAACTATAGTTAGCTTCAGAGCTCTTCGATTTATAGCCAAGTTTTATTGACTACATAATACTAAGGCATTTGAGGTAGCGGTAACGTGTATGTAGAATTATGTACAGGAAGTTTTCTATAACCATTAGATGCGCCATACTATGATTAGATCGTAATTGTCATGACATCACTACAGCTTCACTAACGGCCTCGACAATCTAGAATTGGAAACGCGAACTCGATAGTCGATGATATCACTCTAATAGCGCATTATTTTATATTTACCTACTATAAGGGCACTTAGCATTGATATAACTATGTTAGAATAATATACGAAAACAAATATTGACATTAATCTTCAAAATTGCTGTCATAATATTACGTTGGGTGAAGTAGAGTTACTTTATAGCGAAGTCTTGCCTTCAAACAAGTGGTTCAAAAGGTAATAGGTTAAGGTTATCGTTTTAATATAAATCGTACTTATTTGTTCGCGAAAGAAAACTTAAACAAATAATTAGCTCACTAGTCTACTATTAGGACAAGTCCGCTTAAACTTGTACCGTTCTTTATCAAAATGTTGCTTCATGTTTTATTTTCATTTCTCTAAAATAAATATATTTATTCTTAGAGTAGACAGTCAAATAGCAAATGCTAAACTCTTGTATGTCTAAATTCTAGGCTGTATTATTCTAGTTTAAACCTAGCTTCTATCAATCGTACAGTTTGTAGGCGCGGTTTGCGAAACTTTACTGTTTAGTATGTAGAATCTAAGTATACTCTTAACACACGACTACGTGTCTGACCTACTAGGTTAACAACTGCATGTATGGCATCATACGGTTTTTAGATTTATTAAAGCACCTACTAATATAAAGAAAAAACTAGGGAATAACAAATCAATAATTATATGCGTAAATGATTCACTCTGAGGAAAACCGAGGACGAGTTGAAAGGTTATCTAGATAGAGTTCAACAGCTCAGTGGTAGCTCTTTAACTTAATTTTTATGTGTATGCTTGGGTATCGTAGTAATTACGTAGAAATGGATTAAAGATGACACCGACTGCTTAAATTGGGAGACTACAAATTAGACTAACTGCCTTATCCCTTGAGAGGATGTAAGCACGACTTGAGATTTTCGATTTTCTAATTCCTGTCACGCGGTTTGAAATTAAACGTGCAAGAAGTGAGTGTTATATTAATTTAATATACAGTTAATGCCTATGTCGTGCAATACTTGTACCGTGATGATTAGACTTTTTCAACCGACTTCAAAAAAAGGAGGAGGTTCTCAATTCCCCTATATTTTTTTAATTATTAATTTAATCTTCATGCGACGTATTAATTACACAAGACTTAAGGACGTAGGGATTTATTTTAGTAAACGTTTAGGTCATGTGTAGAATGCCACAATAAAGAGGAAAAATTGGAACAACACAGTTTCAATAATATATAGCTGCTCAAATAATTATAATAAAATATAATTATATTTCTACTATTATTGGTTTATTTATAGACAGTAATATAATTTACAAGGAAATCATGTAAACCACATACATAAACATTATATTAAATAAATATTATATATGTATTCGTCATTTAATCATACAACAAGATGAAAATGGAAGACCATTACCTCTACCACCCTAAAAAATAACGCTACGTGCTTTTATAACTCTCTTTCTTTTCTTAATTCTAAAACCTTATCACTCTTCGCTCGCTCTGGTGCTATCCACAAACACAGAAGTAAATAAATACACTAAAATAATAAAGAGTAAAGAAAAAAGTCAATATCACATTAACATATTCTCAGAACTTGTAACTAAATAAATCAGTACAATTTTAATTTCAATCGATTTCTCTTAAATGTGGCGAGCATGTGTATTAAAACTAGTTGCGCTCAGTTTAACATTATACTTTAAACTATACTTATAATATGTTACTGCACAGGAGTATAAGTATCTTGTAGGTTTTTCATATCGCGAACCGCCTCGACCGAAATCGGTTAGTGTTTAGAACAGTGCTTCCCAAAGTTCAAAAATCTATATAATATAATCGTAGCAAAGTCAAAACTGTACATTGAATAGTTTTTTAAAAGAATACTTTAGGCGTTATCTACAATCGATACCGAACCCATAAATATGGTTTTTAGAATTTTTGTCTGTTTGTCTGTATGTATGTATGTCCGGAATGATCTAAAAAATTCTTCATGGATTTACTTCAAATTTTGGATGAATATTACTAACAGGTCGGGTCAACCTATAGGCTACTTATTATCACGCTATCATCTACGGGGGAGGACCTGTGAATCACAACTCTACCCGAATGTAGTCGCGGGCAACAGCTAGTGAAAAATAAAATACTTAAGGTCGGTTAGTGCGTCATTCTACGATTGCGATCTACCAATGGGTCGAGACTCGAGACACAGTTTGGTTTAGAACATGTTAGTTTCCTCAAAGATCATTTCATGTGTAAGAGGCTCAAGATTACACAAACTGATGGATTATCTTTAAAAAAAACTTACAATATGATTGATAAAAGGTATTGTCCAATGTCTATGTGTACGTGACCCCGGTTTTTATCGGCCTACGTGTGGTCAGATGTAACTTACCAGGAAATGTTAAAAGTATCTTAGCACGTTAAATGATAAATAACTAGTTGATATCTCGTTTTGAAAGTTGTCGTGACAAAATGTTGATCTTAACCAATTCTGATTGCATAACACTACGAAATATATTCAGATAGTGATTGACGTGATTTAGCTTGCTGTTTATGGCTTTGTCAGTTCAGTACTCGTTTTCTAATAGGGATTTCCATAATTTTGGGAACTGATACAAACTTTATTGTTTGGAACCCCAAATAGCATGCTTGCATTCTCTTTTCATTAAATTCTAGTGGTAGGAACATAAAATAACTCGTGTACGACCTCGTATACTAAAATATAAGTAAATAATGATAAAAACTAACCAAGTGGTAGGTACGTTTAAAAAGGCTTCAAAAACAAAATAAATACTATGACCATACCTCCCAACTTCCATGTAACACTTGTAACTGTTTTAATATATATTTAACACATTATATATCAAAGAATATAAGATTTATGTGTTCGGCTGTGTATAGATGTGTAGCACTCAGCACTCTCCAAGCGGCTTAGATTTAGATAACGAGACTCGAGTGTAAAGTTCAGTTGGATATGATTTATCATAATTATAGTGTCAATACCTTATACATATCGCGGAAATAGTGTATGGGTCGCAGTACTAATCGCAGCGTTGTTCCAGGTGCCGGGCACTGCCCCCACTAATGTAAACGCCACCAATATGGCCGCGCCCACTCCTGCGCCTGCGGCCGCCGTGTTGCCTGAAGTGACAACCAATATACCCATCAAACAGCGACTCGGACCGGTAAGTTTTTCAGTACATCTACGCTGTTGGTGCAATGTTCTTTTAGCATGTAGTTTATTTTTCTTTAACATAAGCCGGTAAACGAGCTGACGGATCACCTGATGGTAAGCAATCGGCGTCGCCCATGGACACCTGAACCACCAGAGGCGTTACAAGTGCGTTACCGGGCTTTTGGAGATTAGGAGTTTAAAGATCGTTGGGGATTCAGGGATTGGGAAGATTGGGGAAGGGGAGGGTAATTGGGCCGCCGGTAACCTCACTCACACGACGAAACCCAACGCAAGCGTTGCTTCACGTCGGTTTTCTACGAGGCCGTGGTATCACTCCGGTAGAGCCGGCCTATTCGTGCTGAAGCATGGCTGTCCCACACTTAGTAGTGTCGAATGTAGTCTTACATGTAGTATCGAATGTTGACATAATTTGGTTTTGTTTCAGCCGGTACCTAAGAGTACGGGTCGTATCGCACCCGTGAGCGCCTCCCTAGCGAGCGCCCGGCGCGACCCGCGACTGGCGCGCCTGCAGCAGGGCGCCGGCACCGCCCCCGCCGCGCCCTCGCCGCCTGTCGCCGTCGTGGCGCCCGCCGCCGCGCCGCTCGCACCTATCGCGCCCAACGTCTTTGACATCAAACCCCTCGAGCGCGTCACCAAACGGAAGAATGTCATAACTATAGACGTGCGGCAGGACGCCGAGCCCGCCCGGCCTGCTACCAGGGACCCGCGCCGCCGCGACCCGCGTCTCGAGAAACGCGACCCGCGCCGTACTCGTCCGCGTGAGGAACGGGAACGGAGGCGCGAAGAACTGCGTCGAGCAGAGTCAGAACGCAACCATACTGAAACTAAACCAGAAGCGGAGCGTAATCCGATGCCCGCTTATGTCGATAAGTTGCCTGACCCAAAGAAAATTAGTAAGATGCCACCTATACCTAAAATCACCCGGTCAGAAACCAAACGAGACGGTGAAGCAGTGCCCGCCAAACGTAATAAGCGTGACAATGTGCGCACTGAGCGCAGACGGCGGCGCGAGGAGCTGGCCCAGAAGGAAGGCGAGCGCGCCAAGCCAGCGCCCGCGGTGCCGGCAGCTCCGCCTGCTGCGGACAAGAAGCGCGCGTCGCCCGAGTTGGTGGCGTTCAAGGAGTTGCGCAACTACCACAAGGAGCATTACATGCGTCGCAACCGCGACAAGTCAGCCAGTCCAGAGCACGTCGAGTCAGGCGCAGAAGGCGCCGTGACCTCCGAGCCCCCAAGTAAGATATACCTCTCTGTTGTGCGCGTCGCCCGCGCCCATGTGATATTAGATATAAGTCGAAGCGTGCAAACGCCTGTTGTGTGGAAAATAAAATGTTTTTTAACTCTTGGAGTATTCATATTGACGTTTTCAACAGCGCACTGTACCCTTCTCTAACAGACAGAACTCGCTCGAGTTCTCACACCTAAATTATCTATTGACTATCGAGAGTAAATTTAGCCAAGCCTTCATTCGTTATTCGGTATTCATTGTTGCACTCTTAAACATTTATTTAATTCATTTATTAATTACATTTAGTTTAAATGAAGCATTTTATGCACTGAAACATTATTTTGGTCGAGTTTCGTTGTCAAACAGGTCGTGAATAAGGCAAATAATAAATAATTCATACTTTGAAGTATTTTAATGATAACGATTTTTTGCAAGTCGTCAGACTAACTTTTAATTCAATAAAAATGTAAGTAACATTCAAAATTCAATGGCATACGATTTTCTCGAAATACGATACAAAAATTAAACAAATGACAATGGACAACGAAAGTTTTGGACAACAAACCTGGCCCGACGGACTGGACATCACTTCATGAAGTCTAACGACATCGGAGGACAGTGCAGCATTGGAAACCCATCAACCGTTAGAAAACAAGTAATCCTTGTGTCCACCTGTGCGAAGTGATCTAAGCCGATCAGTCTGTTGTATTTTTGGAAAGTTTGTTGCTATAAGTGAAAAGTATCGTAAGTATACCCACCAAAGGTTTGCTATTATTTTAGTGGCGAGTGTTGGTCTATTAGATATTTGTTTTGCGTTTAAACTTTTTTTACTAGTTTTTGTTCTTGACATTTTTATTATTACTTTGAGCGCTAGTGTCGCATATGGCAATTTTAAAGCAGCAAGGTTTCTGTGTTTCTGTGTAACTTTCAATTATAATTTTCTTAACTCGTGTGTCAAGTTTCAACAATGATTTCGTTAAAACAATCAACCAAAATTATTGAAGCAATAATTTGTTTTTCGTAAGTAAACATTTAATTTATAGATTTATTTTAGTGTGATTCTTAAGAACGTAGATCTATGCAGTTTACATGTCAGCACACCATTCAGATAGATGTTGATGATCTAAAGTCATAATATAAGTAAAAGTTTTTGTTCGGATTTAAATATGGTAATCAAGTATTATGTTATAGATAATATTAAAGCTGTTGTGTGGATTTGATAAAGTGATTTTATGTTCAATGCAGGCAGTGTGATTTTACTGAGATACAGTTTTGGGTTAAGTAAAATTTACATGACCAAACAATGGAGTGCTAGACATGATCTTACCTCAAGCTTCTTGGGGACGTGTTCTCTTAATCTGAATGTGGAAGGATGGAAAGCTTGTAGACGACAAAAAGAAGAATAGATTGTTGACATTCATATTTTAAATTCCTTTAACAAACAGCAAGAAACAGCGATTAATTTTAAGTATTTTAATTTGCGAATAATACTTCGTTATAACTAATAACGTTCACTTAAACAGACGGAAGGGCCCTGCGACGCGGGGCTCCTTTGCCTTATTGACTATTATAAAAAAGGACATTAGCTTAAGTTGCACAAATCACCAAATTATTTCGGAAATAATTTGGTGATTATATTTTGAATTAGTTAAAAGGATAATAGCAGAAAAAATTTTGTTAGTGTGTAAATTTTTCACGAGTGACCAGACATGATAGCTGAAGAAGATTATGATGTCATCGTTTTATGAATACAACAGACCTTTATCAACTCTACATTTAGCATCACTATGTTCTTGCCTACCAACCTCAGTACAACGGTTCACAAAGAAGGATTTGGACATCTAAAACAAGGAAACTTCAACATTTTTTTCCTAGATGAGGAGTAACAAATAATTTGAACTTCTTTAGATTTGTATCTTAATTTTTTTAATAAGATACATTAGGTAGATGTTAATTTAATCTACTACTATTGCAGGGCCAGGTATTTAGTATTTTTGTCGCATGACTAACTTTTACTCTCGGTCGTCAATGGATACTCTAATTCTTGTCATTTAAATTATTCTGAATATTTGATCGCAATCTGCTGTCTTGGAAGTAACTTTGTTGAGATTTTCTAGAATGTTTAATGAACTTTAGTAATAGTTCGTTGGTAATTTATTTTAGTGATTTTAATGATGTGCCTAGCTTTTAATGTTGAATTGAACTGTTCAATCCGCTGTGCTGTAAAATATTCTTTGTTTTAGTACCTCCTGAAAAAATAGTGGTTTATGAAAAATGTATTGTTTGTGTAGTTACCAAAATTCATGTAAGCAGTGTTAGTAAAAATCTTATTTTTAACATATTATTTTCCTGTTTATTTTAATTTTACTTGAATAACATTTAATTTAAGTTAATTATAGTCATAATTCATATTTAGTGGCTTGCGGCCATTTAAAATAATTAGGTATCTTAATTGTCACCACCTTTTATCTGTAAGAAAAAGAAGCACCGAATTAATTGTAATTCTAACTATAAAAATCTCAACAAAGTTATTTACAAGTCATACATTTTGCTTTCAAAATAATCAGTTGGAAATGTTGGTTAGTAATAAAAGCCAAAGTATTTATAGTCTTTAAAACTGGAGAATAGCAATGCACATAGTGCGATACCTAGTTTTAATAAGTGAAAAATAAGACATGCAAAATGTCCCAAGTGTTAAAAGTTGAAGAGATGTTGGTGGTCTACTTTCTTGGAGTTTTTGGTCCCACACTCTGCTTCGCCAAGATGTCGCTAGAGGTAAAAGGGTTAACGGTAAACTGTACACACCAAAATAGACTTTAAACAGGTTGCGTTAATGGAGTTAATATAAAGGAGAATCTTTTATTTCAGGTGTTCCAGAAATTATATCAGAAACTAAGGACATAGATCTTCGAGTATTACCTGCAGTAGTAACGGAGGCCAAAGCCGCTTCTATAGGACAGAAGCGATCTTCCACAGAGACTACGGAAGTTAAAACTAAGAAAACAAAGATTGATAAATTTGATGTGTAAGTATTAAATGTTGCAACGACATTTTTCTCTAATGTTATTTTATAACCTGCTCGTATCATCATGTATTATAATATTATGGAATATTACAGGTTATTTGGTAATGAGGATGTTGATTTACGCCAACTACCACAAGTAGATGAAGTGAATGCCCCGCCTCCACCTTCTATCACTGGCTCGCCGAAGTCCGACAACAAAGTGGAAGAAGATGTAGCAATGGTGTCACCAGCCAAAGGTTCACCGAAGAGGGATTGGAACGAGATTAAGAAGAGAGATGACAAGAAAACTCCCTCAAAACTCGACCTTGTACGGGCTAAGTTTGCCGAAGTAACGAAGGGCAAAGATAGGCTTGGCCGACCTCTACTGTTCAGCAAATCGCCAAGTAAGTATTTTATCTAATGACAATGTTTTATTTAATTTTGAAATACACCGTACACAGTCTAATTTAATATGTTATTTGTTATAGGTATCGAAAGAGAAAGGCGACGTACTTTGTCTAGCGAAGATATTGATCTCAGGGAAGATGATGAACAAGGCTTCGTTGAAAACAAAAAATCTATTTCAATTATAATGTCTCAAGCAAAGGAACACTTCACAGATGGACAATTAGACAAGAACCAATACAACACTCTAATGTACCAAATTCTTCAACTTAATGAGAAACTCAAGCTGAAGGAGGCCAAACAGAGGGAGTCATTGGAAATTTCCAAAAGGAAGCTCAAAGCTACAATAGAAGAAAACCACAAAGTACCAAGCCCAAAATCGTCGCCTAATGAACGAAACAGATTTGGTGATATTGATGAGAGAATCACGCCGTCTGTATACCTTGATACGCCGCCCGAGAGCCAAGGAGTGTTGGGTCAGGACTCGGATATGCGACTCGGTGCTGAAGCCCTTGATATGAAGACAAAGGGTTTGCTCCCTATCCCTCCCATGATGCCAATGTTCGGCCCTTACCAGCCACAAATGCCTTGGCGTGGACCAAGACCACGAGCAGGTGAAGAATTCGGTCCTAAACGATTCCGAGGTCCAATGCCACCATACTTCCGAGCCGGCAAGTTTGATAAGAGGGCTGTTAGACCGCCTTTCGACCCTCGTATGGCGATGCCTCCTCTATTTACACCCAAAATTGGTATGTGTCAAGGAGAGTGTCCGCTAACACCTTACGAACGAAGCGAATCTCCACCTCCATTGGGAGCTCCAGGCTTCGCAATCCCACCGACAGATTTTAAAGTCATTGAGTATATAGATCAGGACCCCTTCAAAACCATCCAAATTGATGGTATACCTCGGGAAATCAGGTTTTACGGTAACACCGCCGTAATTATGCTGGATTGGGATGATCCAAGGGAAATCAAGTTCCTTCCTGGATGCAGACGAGTAACGTTCGACAATAAAGACTCAGTAGTACTAACATTCAGTGAAGGCTACAAGCAAGTGGAATTTGATGATCAAGTATTCGATATTAAATTTGGTGCACCGACACGAGAACTGTATATAAACGGTAGGTGGTACGAATGTTTCTTCGGTGGACAGCCATTAGGCGTAATTATTGACGGTAAACCAAGATTGGTTCATTTGGAAGGACCTATGCCTCAAGTGGACATCGGTAAAGCTAAACGAACCGACTTAGTAGCCGGTAAGATCAATCTCATTGTGAATGCTACACAGATGCATCCAGTGTACTTGGACGCAAAGGTACAAAAGATTTTGGTCAATGGACAGTATCTGACCGTGCGCTTCGTAGATTCATTGCGCACAGTTTTAATCAATGAACAGCCTTTTAAAGTAGAGTTTGGAGGCCTTCCCAAGCCCATCGTTGTTGGCAGCGAGAAATATTTTATAAGGTTCTCCGCTCTGCCGAGAAATATTAAGCCTGGACATGTCCAGATTGCTAATATGGAAGGCATAGGCTTGCCACTGGTGCCACCCGTCAAGAATGTCGATGAACTTAAGAAAGAGGAAAACCCAATGGAAGTTGACCAACAAGAAGAACTCATTTCGCGTCCGGTGAAGACGCCCAGCTCTGAACCGAACCCTGAGAGTCTAGGTCTCGACATGTTGGCGAGCGTCATGCCGTCCAGTACTGTGCCCGCCTCCGGCTCGGAGTACAGCGTGGCCGAGCCTCTATTCTCCAAAACAGACAAGATCCCTGGACTTGAGACACCCATGTAAGAGAAACCAGCTCCAGTACTGCCAATATTAGACAACATTAATGTCAACGACCTTTTCGCTAAGCTGGTGGCGACTGGTATTGTGCAAGTGCCGACCACTACCCAGCCAGAGCCTCAAGAGGAAGCAAAGAATAAACCTGAAGAAGTTAAGAATAAACCAAGGGAAGATAAGAATATTATCCATAAAGTAGACTTTATGAAATCTGAGACATTCAGAGTGTAAGTATTTTGTTCCTTGTGACTGATAAGGTTCATTCTGTGAAGTTGTATAAACATACTAAATGTGCTTTGTTTTCTTTTTAGTAAACAACCAGGACTGGTGGCTAAGTTGTACGGCGGGATGCAGTGTTCAGGGTGTGGGGCTCGGTTCCCGCCCGAGCACACGGTGCGATACTCACAACACTTGGACTGGCACTTCCGACAGAACCGACGCGACAGGGACTCGGCGCGCCGCGCGCACTCACGACACTGGCACTACGACCTGTCAGACTGGGTTCAGTATGAGGAGGTCGAGGACTTGGAGGAAAGAGGTAACGTATTCAAACATTATTTGTTGTTTATTGAATCACTCTTATTGATATAGGTACCTACAATACGTAGTTTTTTAGGACTATTTTAAAGATAAACTGCTGTGACTTTAGGCTTTTTTTTCTTAAAAATTTACCAACATATTTTTTCCCGTGTAGAAAAGAGTTGGTTCGAGACGGGCGGTATCCCCGCGGCGTCGGGCGAGGGCGCGGTGGAGACGCCGGCGCCCGCCCCGCTGGCCACTCCGTCCGCCGCCGCCTCCGCGCCCGCCTCGCACTGCTGCGCGCTCTGCGGGGACATGTTCCAACAGTTCTACAACGAGGACAAGGAGGAATGGCACCTCAGGAATGCTATCAAACACAACGATGATTACTATCATCCACTCTGCTTCGAAGACTACAAAACGTCACTAACAAAGGCAGGAGAACCTAAAGTAAAAGACATCGCATCTGAGGCAAAGGTGGAAGAGGAAGGCATTGAGACGAAAGATGTGGATGAGACTGCAGAGCAGTCTGACAACGAATCTGTGGTTGAAGTCGTCGAGGACCCGAAGGAGTTGGACCCCGTTGAAGTAAGTATTAAATTTAACACTTTTAATTTTGCTCTCTAAAAAGAGGTAATAAATAAATACGGGACACCTACTTAGGTAAATATACCCAAATCTGACGATACCCTTTAACATCATTTGAATTGGGTAGTGTTGTAGTCATCCAAATTAAACCGATTGAATATTCCACTTCACAAACATACATATTTTATGCACATTATTCATACATACATTACCTTCTTCCTATATTTATTTCTATTGAAACTTTCCAGATCGATGAAGAAGATGACGAGGACGATGTCGTTTTCAAAGCAGAGCCAGTGGTCGAGGTTGTCGTTGAAGATGACGCTGAAACGGATGACGAGCTTACTGCTGAAAGAGCTGAACGAGACCGTCTCGCAGAGATTGATTTCAGTAAGATCAAGGTCAAGCAGGAACCCATCGATCCCGGTGAGTAACATTACACATTCATTTATATACAAGTCAGTTGCTAACAATTTCTTCAAACATTCTGAACTATGAGGCAAAGAAATAAAGAATACCTGTGACCCATTACAGTAACTAGACTCTCTCATTTTTCTATTCACAAAAGAAAATCATTTTGTTGCTATTTAACTAATACATGATTTTTCCATTTCATTAGATGACGAACCAATAGTAACTGCTGAAGAAGAAACCATCCCAACGCGAATAGACCACACACATCCAACAGTGGAGTCATCTATCGACGGGAACCTTCAACTGGATGCGGCAAGCATTCCCACAGCCTCCATACCCATTGGAGGAATCCGGATCAACATCTCCAAATCCTTGCCTTCCTTTGTGACTAATAACCAGGAAGAAAAAATACTGGAGGACGTGAGTGCTGATGATGAGCCCTTGCCACCAGGTGAGGAGCCTGAACTAGAATACACGTTGAAACCAGCACTTCAGGGTGTCCAGTTCAGCAGGCAACCTCCAGTCAACAAAGGCAATGAGCTCTCTGGATTGTGCTCCATCATGTAAATAGTTACGATTTTCCAGCCTTCAAAGTGCAAATACCATGATCTGTATTATGTTAATTCAATTATACAAAGTGTTGTTACATTTTGAACCTATATTGTGTCTGGAAATGTGTGCTGAAGTGTTTAGGAATAGGTTTTGTGAAACCAACTAATTTAATCAGTAATTTGCTGTTATTTAATAATTAGTTAATATTTAAGACATGGTGTACATTTGAAATAACGTTAAACGATAAAAATATAGACTGATATTATTAAATAATCAAATTCGTATAAAGAAAAAAGGTCGTAAAATATAGAAATGCAATAACTAGGTTATATCAATAAATAATAGGTACATACCATCGAGAATCTGCCAATCAATTAATGAAATTGAATCGAAATTACTGAATTAGTTGGTTTGTTGTGATTGAATTCGTGCCGACTGAGGCAGTGGTTTATCTCTTTGGTCGTTTTCCTATTATAATATATAAAAATGTATGCATTCACTGTTAAAAAATGTAAAACTTGTTTTATTAGATGCTTAAAATGCATATATTAGGTTAATTTACTTTCTTTTCTAATTCTTTTTTCCTCTATGGCTCTCGTTGTTACGTCGTCGCAAGCGCAAGTCGTTCTAGTCGAATCAAGTATTAATAGGCTTTTCAATTTTCATAGTCCCTGGACTCCTAACATATTGTGTTTGGTGAGAAGTGTTTGTTCTCTGCTTACAGACAGTAGGACTTTTCTACTAGTTACACGGAATCTATTTTACATAATCATTATGTATTAAAATTTGTACAGAGTAACTCGCTTTTAAAATTTTTAACCAACAGTGAATGCATCTAAAATTAATGCTTTGCTGATATGAGTTCAAATAATATCATTGTGTATACTGATTTGTAATTGATGTTAACTTATGTTCTGTCTCTTGTCAAAAATATTTTTATTAGTCAGCATTGTGCAAACAAAAAGATATGAAGAGTCTTAGTATTTGTGAAAACGTCCAGATGCTAGTAGGTACATCATTATTTTGCACTACTTAACAGATTTTCGACTTAATCAGAGGCCTTAGTACGAGTTTGTTTTACGTTTAAAGTAATCGTAACGAGTACGCGTTCGGCGCTCTGATTGGCCCGCGCCAATGAACCAACCAATCAGAGCGCCGAACGCGTACTAAGGCCTCAGAAAACATTATACGTAGCTCAAAATGTAGAGTTCAGCCTGCTAGCTTCTGCACAAACCTAGATTGTATTATAGAATGATTTATACGAAATACCTCTGTAGTGGAGAATTGCTGTTTATACGCAACTGTGGAAAGCATATGGAATGGTGATCTATAATGTCATAATATCCTCGTAGAATAATTAGACAATTTTTTATCTTCTATCTCTATTATGTGGGACTTACTGGCTGCATGGTGTTATAATTACTCCAATGCACCTAGCCATTGGGACTATGAACACTATGTTATCTTATATTACTCTACAACTGCCATTAATTTATATTATTCTAGCAGATGTTATGTCTTCCAATATGTCAGTATATAAGACACTAGCTTCTTCCCGCGACTTCGTTAGCACAGTTCCGTTTTTCCCGATCCCGTAATATTTTCAGGGTTTTTTCTGTCGTAAGAAGCTTCTCCTGACAATAACAAACACAACAATAAAAGATCAGCCAAATCGGTCAAGCTATTCTCAAGTTATGGCGTGACAACGGGAAACTGGTTTCATTTTTATATATATAGATTTAATTTACAGCTTGCTTCGAAGCCTGCCTGTATAGCCTTCCATATGAAGCCACGCAAGAATTGTTAAAACGAAATGTGATATTAAAGTTAAGTTAACGACTTGTTTAACAGCGAACATGCGTTTTGTTTGACGAATTATTTTTGTATATCATGTAGTTAGTGTAAATATGTGATTAGCCTGTCTGTAAATATCTAGAGTTATGTGTAAGGGTACAAATTGTTACACGAGTTTGTATGTTTGAAGAATGTGTAAATATTTAGTTATATAGAATCTCTTTGCAGGGTTTTATTTCCTTGAGATGTGTTTTGTTGCCACATCAGTGGCTTTTCTTTTGTATAAAAATATAAAGTCCTACAAAAATTAAATAAATGTAATGTTTAAAACAATGGTGTATGTTTATTATAGTTTAGGTTTATGGTAATCAGAATGAACCTTCCAATCAACTCTTTATCACATGTTGGAACTTTGATCACAATTGTTTGTTTGTTTAGTTTACAATGTGTAAATAAATATTTACATCATGATTTCTATCTTTGATTTCTTTCGACCCTTTCTGAAAGTAGTAAAAGACTTAGCAATAAGTTGGTACACAATTTACAATAATTTAACAATTTTATTAAATATTCGACTTACATACTGTTCATATTGACAGTATTTTTGCTTTTCTCATAAAGTAAGAGTCAAAAGTCAAAAGCATTTATTTCAATTAAACCAGGGTTTGGTATTTATGAAACGTCAACAAATACAAAATAAATAATAGTCTACCAGTCAGTCCGTCAGTGAAATTAGGTGAAGCTAGGTGCTCATTCCAAAACGTAGATTCGAATGGAGAAGAACGAACAAGAAACTCCATTCGTTACTCTTTTAAAAAAGTATGTTCTACAATGTCTCTGATACATATTTCAATACTGTACGCATATGTAAGAACAATGCAAAGACCCGCTTAACGCATTATACTAATAACTTACTAAAATAAAAAAAAAATAAAAATCTTAAGTCTAACATGGTGCTCACATATAGAACCTAACGGGTAACCGGGGCTCCGGCTCGACGTGCAGGAGAAGGAACGGGGTGGTTTTTAGTCAGTAAGAGTCTTACACTCCCTCCCGCCTCACCCAGGCGGGAGCAGTCATTCGATGATATTCCGCCCTTAAAAAAAAAAAATGCATACTGACAATCCATAGAAATAGTGCTTCTATACAAGAAAAAGGAAACTCTTTGTTTCAATAAAAAAAGAAATGCTCGATGCCATAAAGAAACTAGATTGTCTTCATTAGAATTAAAGTATTAATGTATTATATTACCTACTATTGGAATTTAACTACTAACTACATTTGAGTATTGTCCAGTGGAGCCGAACCAACATGCTGCCAAGCATTCTTATCTTCAAGATAATCTGTCAGTGTGTAGTAAAGCTTGATTACATAATTCGCGCTTAATATATGTTTTAAATTTACTTTCATTGAGATCTAGTATGCTATTTGGTATTTTATTATAGCATTTAATACCTACCCCCATAAAGGATTTCTGTACGTTGGACAGTCTGAATTGCGGTATAGCTAACTTATTTTTGCCTCTAGTATTAAAATTGTGTCTATTGCTTCTTTTTTCAAACAATTGCCTATTTTTTCTTACATACATTATATTTTCATATATATATTGACAGGGCACCGTTAAAATATTTATCGTTTTAAACAATTCTCTCATCGATTCGCAACGGCGTAAGTTATACATTGCTCGGATAGCCCGCTTTTGTAGAATAAATATTGATTCTATTTCTGCAGCTCGACCCCACAACAAAATGCCGTACGACATAATGCTGTGGAAATAACTAAAATAGACAAGCCTAGCTGTATCTACGTCCGTGAGCTGTCTAATCTGTCTAACTGCAAAAGCAGCTGAGCTCAATCTCCCCGAAAGCGCCTTTATATGCGGACCCCATTGTAGCCTATTGTCTAACGTAATGCCTAAAAATACTGTCTCGTCGACAAATTCTAACTTTTGACCGTTCAAAACAATATCACAATCGTTACTACGCACGTTTGGTAAACTGAATTTAATACATTTTGTTTTTTTTTCATTAAGTGCTAGATTATTAATGGTAAACCAATTATGCACTTGAAGAATGGAGCTGTTTACGTCGTCAAGATTATTTGTACGTCGATCTACTTTAAAAATTAATGATGTATCATCTGCAAAAAGCACCATTCTTGGTTCATTTTTAAATATAAATGGCAAATCATTTATATAGACTAAAAAGAGAAAGGGACCCAATATTGAACCTTGAGGAACGCCCATATTCATCCCAGAGCCCTGTGAGTTAATACCGTTAACATGAACCTTTAACTGTCTTTCTTCTAAATAAGATTTCATAAGACGGAGCGCAGAGTTTCTTATCCCGTAATGATCTAATTTCAGCAAAAGTGTTTCGTGGTCAACGCAATCAAATGCTTTTGAGAGGTCACAAAATACACCAATAGCATCCTGTGCTTCCTCCCAAGCACCAAATATTTCCTTAATCAAAGTGACACCGGCGTCAGTTGTGCAACGACCTTTAGTGAAACCGTATTGTTGTTGGTGAAAGATGGAATGTTTATTAAAATGATGAAGCATCCGAGACAGCATCAACTTTTCAAAGACTTTGCTGAGAACCGGCAAAACAGACACTGGCCTATAGTTGTTAGGTTCTTTAGTGTCACCACTTTTAAATAGTGGGATAACCTTACTATATTTCATTAGGTCAGGGAAAACACCGTCATCTATACATTTATTGAAAATCACAGCCAGATATGGAGCCAGCCAGAGTCTATGCACATCATGTTTTTTTAACGCGCCGTCGACGCGCGTTTGTAGAGCGATACAGATGCGATACGCATGCAAGTCAGACGTAGCCTGTAGACCTTTGCACACCTGTATAGATACAGACGCGCGTGTGTAGCGATACAAACGCGCTGACACTTGCGTTTTTAGTCTACTAGTTTTCTGTGTCGAAAGGTTCCATTTTTTTGTTCCAGAGACATGCGGTGCACCAAATCGATCGATTGCTACTAGCGTAGATTCACACTTTCCTTTCCCTCGTTACGGGGGAAAGTCCTTAGGGAAGGCGTCGATACAAGCGACAGCAAACTGCTCTGTAGGATAAAAACTCAACGCGCCGGCGACGCGCGTTCCCAGAACGCTCGTCGACGGCACGTTTAAAAAACGTGGTGTGCATAGCCCCTAACTAGATGAGAGCTACAAACAGGAACCAAATCCTATAATCCCAAACTACAATAAATTTAGATTAACAATTAATAAACATATCGCAATTATGTGGAAAAGGCGGTGTCCTTAATATTACCTACTGACATTATATAAAACTTGCAGAAGTTGTTCCAAACCTAAACCATACCCGCCTGTGGGGACGTTACCATACTTCCGTAGTTCTAAATAACAGTTCAATCTATCCGATGGTAACTTGGACTTCAGTTTCTCATAGCTGTTTTCTCTCAGACTGCCACCTACAGTTACTTCCCCTGTAATGGATGTTCCAGAGCTTCAACCTGAAAAAAAAGATAACTCCGCCAACGTAGGTTATCGATTTTTGCTCAGCAGCCGGCGCAAATGTAAAAATACGTTCTTTTGTCGGGTCACATCAGCTGTCAAATATTGACTAATGGGTTCTTCGTCCAATAGTGAATCAGCTAGTGTCACAACACTTGGGAACCACGAACAACGAGAGTGGTACGTTATCTGATCAGTAGTGCAGGTCCCATTTTGAACAGATTTTCTATTTTTTTTTAAATATGATACTCCCGATATGATCTTATTTTCACAAGGTCGAGATCTGATGATGGAATCCTAGAAAAACCGAGAGGAACCTTTGAAAGGGCGACTATTACGTTTTTCAATAAAGATTTTTAAACATCAGAACTTGATAGGGTCTGTAGTTGACCTAATGGACAGACGGATTGACAGACTTTTTGAACTTTATGGAATGAAACCGTACAAAAATGACCCCCAATTTCACCAGTATGTAACATCTTATTCAAAAGCCTTTAGAATAGTATGCAGAGTCGCGAAACGTCTTTATATTAGTAATAAAATAAAATCGTCTGATGATAAGATAAAAACTACTTGGAAAGTTATACACAACGAGACTGGTAGGAAAAGATTAAGAAACTCAGAATTTAATTTAAATACCGAAAGGGGACAGATTTCATCAAACGTAGATGTAGCCCAGGAGTTTGAAAATTTTTTTACTAGTATTCCTATTAAAACAACTGAACATTTAAAGTCATCAGCAAACCTCTCTGTAACTTTGCTTAAGAACAACA